TTCTCAGTATACCCTCATTTTGTCCCTTCAAAAATAGCAACAAAAGGTAAAATAACAGTGTTTGTATTGGGATAGGCTTCGTATTCCATGCAAATGTATCTAGGTCATTCACAAACAGGACACTTTGAATATTCCTTATCAATCTTTGTAAATTGTGTGTGTGCATATGTGTGTGAGACAGAGAGGTGGATAGAGAGAAATAAAGGTGGATAGAGATCACATTGCCATACAGACAGTGATTTGGTTTGCATAAGGTAACAAGCAGTAGCTTCACAGAAGATTGGGAGAGATGCCTTGTCCCCATGAGATGTTTTCACCTCAGAAACATTACAGTAGTGTGCTAGATCAATTTTCTTTATTAATATTTTGTGGGTGTGGGCTGGTCTTAAAAAAAACAACATTGTGGGACATAACGAATGCTTGTAAAACAGATCTATAGATGATGCCCAGCTGCAAGGAAGGTGGCACAGTCCAAATTTTCTCTCCTCCTCTACTAAGTCTAAAACTTATTTTCACATGCAACAGAATGAGAGAGTAGCATGAACTAATTCAGTCTTACAATAAGGGTTACAGTTTTTAATACCTTCCTCTAAATCTTCTGCAATCTTCTATTTGCAATGAGTCTAAAATTATGAAGTATTCAAAAATAGGGCCCCCTGTCTCTATTCTGAGGTTATGTTCTGCACTATCACGCCAGGGCTCATTCTGCTAAGTTATTTTGTATGGTTTTAACTGAGTGAACTGTGTGACTACAAGGAAGTACATTTGGACTTGTATGAGAATTATGTAAATGGCACATGTATTAATTGCACTGTCATGAAATAAATATGTTGTTTAATCATGATGTGCTGGGGAAAAAGCCAGACACATTAGGTTCTGCTCAGCTATCTAATCTTGCATAGTGTAGATGCTTCTGTTCTACATTCTGAAAGAAGTCACATTAAAATATTATGTAAACAAGAGGTTTGGCAAGAGATCTAAAGACATTTCAGCTTGGTTTAAAAGAGTAACAGTAGAAATCAAAGCATAAAGCTGCGTTCTGTTCTTTGTTTTTTAAAGTAGAACATATTTTTCCTAAAAAATCTCTTAACTTAATGTGTCATTTGCAGTTTTAATTAATCCACTGCCTCGATATCTGTTCAGCTCTCTTATCAACCTCCCAAGTACTGGGTTCTATTACAGCATAGTTTTCTTAGTAATACAAAATCTTAATGTGTTCCCACACTACTTCCTCAAGTTTTGCATGTAGCTGTGCCCTGCAAAACTTCTTAAGGAATCTATGAAAACTCTTCTTTGTTGGAAGAAATGAACACTCAGGTACAATCTGCATACATCAATGATTGTAGGTAAGGGTGGGGGCAAATTTCTTAGGGTTTTCACTTGCATATCTTTGGATAGCTTGCTCTCTGAAGATATGTTATACCTTGGTATGCTTCATGTACAAGGAAGTGACTGTATACTCTATATCTGTGTAATTGATTTGACCTGAAGTCCCCTCCTTGTTCAAGAGAGAGCCTGATCTTTTGAAATTGTGTCTCAGTGTTGAGAGAGTCCACCTCCTTCACTCTCTCCCCCCTCCCTTTAATTTTAAATGTAAGTATGAAGAACTGGTTTGGGCTTGAGGGAATAAATGGAAATACTGTTTTTCTTACTTAATTTGTTTTGCATCTTTCTGCCAAACACGGTGCTCAAGGTGTCTAACAATAAAATATGCAAAGTAAAATTTGTAGTAAAACGTAATATAAAAACAGATTTATAAAAACATAAAAATACAAGAAGTAGTACCCACCAATTAAAACCCTTCATCTGCAGAGCTGCTTACAAGTCAAAGGCCTGCCTGAATAAAAATGTGTTCACTTAGGAAAGAAAGGACAATGGAGAAGGAGGGAAGCTTAGCCTCTCATAGCAGGGAACTCCAGAGCTTGGAAGTGGCTACTGGAAAAGCCTTCTCTCATATTTTTAGTAGTTATACCTCCAGTGCTGGCCAGACTTACAGAAGACCCTCCCGCAAAGATCTTAAAGCCTTAAAGAATACAGTTCAAATTGTGCTGGGAAACAGACTGGTAGCCAGTGAAGCAGTTAATAAAGGTTTCGTGTGCTCCCTGTAATCACTCTTAGGCAACCATTTGGCTACAGCATTTTGGACCAGTTGAAGTTTCAAAAGTCATGCACAACTGTGGCCAGTCATGCACCTCTCTAGAGATAAAAGCGACTGATGCATTAACCTTAACTATGCAGATGCACTTCTGGGCCACCCCTGATAGTCACCAGCAGTGGAAATGCACCTTTAGCAACCATCAAATCCTGGGCATTTAGGTTTAGACAAACTGTAAAACTGCTGGTGGTTATAGCTGCAGCCAGCATAGGTTAAATTCCTATTCCCTGAGCTGCTTTTTTGACTGACCAGAAACACTGACATCTTCTGTAGACTGAGCGTCTGCATCAAGGCCATTATTAATACTAGATCAGATCACCAGCTCCCGCATGCTGCCTGAGGGCTTTATCAGTGGCACCTCCGTGCCATGGAGCAAATGAAGCATCACAGAAGTAGCAGGAACTACAGGGTAGTCAGTCTGCTCTTCTATTTTTCCCACTGTGTGTCAAGGCAGGAAGGGGCCCTGATGGTGTAACTGGATCTTTCTGGCAGTCACAGCTTCCAGAAATCAGCTTCCATTTGTGGCTTTTGGAAAATGGAGACTCATGCTTATTTGTGGTATCCCCCGTGATTCAAACCTGAAGGAAGTGGGAGGGATGAGGGAGTGAAGATCCTACATTGAGCCTGATTATCCAGCTCATCAATGATACTTCACAAAACAAATCAACCTACTGTGGTTTATTGCCAGTGTGGGTTGTCATGCTGTGTGAACTCAGCCAGTATAGAGAAGGAAAAAAGAGGCTCTTCTTCAGACAAGTCAGTTTCCTACTTTGTAGGAAGGTAGATGCCTTCTAGAGCAGAGATCCTCAAACTCTTTCAACAGGGGGCCAGTTGAAAGGTGACGGGCACGGACTGGTGAGGTGGGGATGCCCAGGGGAAAGGGCCGGTGAGGTGGCAGTAGGCATGCGTGTGGAGCGGCAACTGGCTCAGTCGCTCGGTCGCTCAGAGATCTCCGAGCAAGTCCAAAACCATCTCTGAGCATGCAAGCCAGGCGCAGGGGGCCCAAAACTTCTGAGCTGGGCTGGATAAATGGGCATGGCGGGCTGGATGCGGCCCGTGGGCCTCTAGAGAGAGAAGAATAGAAATATCTCTAGAACCCCCCTGCCTCCATGACTGCTTTTCAAAAGAAAAATAACAAGCCTTACTCATCTTTGTTGCCTTTTTTTCCTCTTTCCATCTCTGGATGTAGTTCTGAAGTATATCACAGTTTTAGAAGCCAAAGCCATAGATTTAAAAATGCATTTTTATGAAGTATAGGTGAATCTGGAGTACAGAAGCCGTGCTGACATTCCATCTTAAAACTGATAAATACAGGTGGGGAGAGGACCCATCACTGTTCTCTTCTTGCTCCCCCCTTCCCTGCTTGCATTTACATTTCTTTTAAAGTTGAATTATTTAAAACATAAGAGAGCAAGAGAGATAATACAGTTTGTTCTGGACATATTGTTGCTTTCGGTTTTGCTGTCATTGTTTAGGACAAGCCTAGGGACTCTGGCCTGCAGGCCATGTGCTGCTTCCAAGGGCTCCTCATCTGGCCCACAAGTTTCTTCTGCTCTTTTTTTCTGATAAGCTGCTGGAAATGGTATTTAAAGGCAATTACACTTCAAATACCTTGCAGAGAATTGAGTTGTGCTTTTGCAGGATGAGAACTGTAGCACTGGGACATACTACTGAGTAGACTTGCTTAGAACTGAGCTGTGCTTTATATACTTGGGGGTGGGAGGAATGTTCAGATTGGTTAGAATTATGTATTACCCTTCAACCCCACCTACTGTTGGGTTGTGTTCCATCCACGCACCCACCCAGACCCTTCCCAACCTACAGTTTAGGCCCCTAGAAGAGAATGGTTCTGTAGGCAGGCCTGGATGGGCACTATGTTCAGGAGAGAGCAGCTGCTGGATCTTAGAACTGTCTCATGATTTCTTCTCTGACAGTATTGCAAAACTTCTAGTTTATTTGCTGATCGAAGTACCTTTATGCTGTGGTTTACTGGAGAATTCTGATTTCATAATTTATTCAGTTGTTGCTGTATCAGGTTATCCTCTATTGTGTTGTTATAACTCTTCTTATTATTGTGGCCTGAAAACTGCAAAGAGGACTTTGACAGGGCAAATAGAAAATGCTAGGCTTATTGGATGAGCTACTGATTTCTGTGCTACACCCAGGAATGGCTGCTAAAATACTTCTGACGCTTCCCTGAGAGAGAGCTCTGAAGCAATTTGAAACATATATTATCTGTTTGTAAAATGATTAGTTTACTAGGCACAACTTGAAATGCTCTGAACACAACCTTCATTTCATACTTTATATGAGTGATGTAATGCTTAGAGACTGTTTCTCTAGAATCTAATCTGACTAGTTTTGGTAAACCTCTGATCAGCAACTATTTTTATGTGAGGGAATGGGTGATGGTAGATTAGCACCCCCCCAGCCCCCACCCTATGAGTTATCAGAAATGGCGTTCCTGGAGCTACTGTGGCAGCCACTTACTCAGCACATCCAGCTGGCAGCTGGTGGTAGGGCTGGATTTGGTCCTGGACCTTCCATTGCAGATGCTACTGTAAATTTAACTGGGAGGGTGTAATATAACAGAAAAAGCACTCAGATTGGCTAATGTTGACTCATTAAGAGCCACACAGCAGGTTACTTCTTTAACAATAAGATAACCAGTGGGACACTTCTGTTAAATTGGAAGAAAATAAGTTTCTTTTTTTCTTTAGCAACAACATACCATAGATTGCTAATATAAGTGTGGGCAGGTATGCTAATACCATTTTATTGGCTTATTTGCATGGTTGGACTAATGTACGGTCTTTAATTTGCGTTTTCTTCTTTCTTTCAACAGGAAAGCCATTTACACAGTTGGTGAAGGAAATGCAGCTTCATCGAGATGACTTTGAAATAATAAAAGTCATTGGCAGAGGAGCATTTGGTGAGGTAAGATGCCTTTGGAGCTCTGTTTTAGATATGTTTATTGGAATGTTTTAGCAAATGCCCTGCATACTTTACTTTCAAGTTATTTCTTTTTAACAAAATGTAATTCTTCAGACTAAGTTTGTAATCCTATGCAGCTTTGGTCAGAAAACAAATCCTAGAACTTCCAGTATGCTCCTTAGCCATATTAACTTGGGCCTACTCAGAATTGTATATCTCCTTATTTATTTATTTATTTATTTATTTATTTATTTATAACATTTCTATGCCGCCCCATCGCAACAGAGCCTCAGGGCGGCTTACAAAGGATACATAAATACATAAATAATAACAGTATAACAATTTTTTTAAAAAATCATCTAAACATACATAGGACATAAGTAAATGTCAAAAAAGCTTCTGAAGCAATACATACTTTGGTTTTAACGTATTTTACAATTCTTTGTTATATATCCACCCTTCTAGATTCTGTATTTAATCTGTGACTGCCATGCAGTATCCTTTAGTTTATGGAATAGAATAATATATAAAATAGGTAGGAATGTCTTCATGACACACTTTTAATGACTGGTAAACTGAATGAACAGAAATTATGAAAACAAAGGGACCTTTTTTCATTTCTGTACTGTTGCTGAAACACTCTGGGTGGTTCACAACAATACGCAAAATACACAAACCAGAAATTCAATAAAATACTATATAAAGATTATCAATATACAAAATTTAAAAACAATTTAACAGCTAAAATAATTTCAGTACAAGTCAGAAGTATTAAAACAGCTGACATAAATGTCTCAGTATGCCATTAAGTAACAGGGAAAAGATTATAAAGTTAACCTGGAACCAAAAAGATGACAGAGTTGGTGGTTCCAGGTGGGCTTCAATTGAACAATATTCATATTTGGAATGAATATTGTTCCATATTTGGAGGGACCACCACTGATAAAGTCCCGTCACTTTTACTGCCCTCTCTTTTGGAAGTGGTACTTAGAGCAAGGCCCCAGATGTTGATCCTCGAGGCATTCGAGCAGATGTTGCAGTCCCAAGCCATGCAATGCTTATAGGTGAAAGCCATCACTTTGAATTGGGCTAGTAAGCACATAGGCAGCCAATTCAAGTAAGCCAGAATTGGTGTTATATGCTCAGACCTTCTGGTGCCAATTGTTAGTCTGGCTGTCCATTTTTCACAAGTTTCTGAGCAGTCTTAAAGGTCAGTCCCATGTACAGTACATTTCTAATTTGCAGGGTTACCAGTTCATAGATGACTGTCCAGATAAGGCCACCAACAGAAGTTGGAAGACATTACATGCCACAGAGGCCACCTGTGCCTCAAGTGACAGAAATGGATCAAGAAAGATCCCTGAATTACAACTGGGCTCCTTCAAGGGAGTCCGCATCCGAAAGCAGATGAAGCACCCTCCATGAGAAACACCACCCACTAGCAACTTCTCAGCCTTGTCTAGATAAAGCTTCATTTTATTAGACCTCAACAAGTCTATTTCATAGCCAGGCACTTACCATATTCACAGTTTCACCTGGTGAAGATATACAAGAAAGTTAGAGCTCCATGTCCACATCTCTCAATAATCCCACTCAGCAGGCTTCATGCACATACTGGGTAGAATGGAAACTATAACTGATACCAGAGGAGGTCCATGCTGCAGAATCTATGGAGCTGAGCAATATTCCCTATGTACCACCTTCTGAAATACCTTCCTACCCCTAACTCAGATGCTTGCAGCAGCAGAGATGCCATGGTTATTTATTTAAAACATTTTTATGCCACCCCCATCGCAACAAAGCCTCGGGGCGGCTTACAACAGGTTAGTGGTATCAAAAGCTACCAAGAGGGCCAGGAGTATCAACCAGGACATTCTGTCAGGTGATCGACAGGGTCACCCGTTTCTCTCCTGACCTGTTGAGCTACCAAAGCACTTCTGTAGAACTAGCATGTCTAAACATGCTCCATTATATCCTATGGCCATATCTTTGCAAATATAATTTCCAAACCGATGACCTTGGACAATGTAATGTAAGGATCAAAGCAGCATCTTTGATTCTTACTTTCTGTAAAATCGGTGGAGACTATCAGTAAGAGCTAACTTTTGTTGAGGGACTTAGATTCAGTCACTTTGTCATGGGAAGATTATCACCTGCTTAAAGTTTAGACTCACAGTGGTGTTTCCCTTTTGCAAGGAAAGGGGACCTCTTAAGGTGTTGGTGAATGACACCAGATTAACATTCTAAGAGCCCATTTAGTCATGTACAATACTGCAACATATATTCAGATAAAAAGGACTATCTTATGCAGATAATGACTGGGCTAGTACTTTTGCCTTCTCAGATGCAAAACCTAACTGATAGACTGGATCTCAAGTGATCTTGTATGTTTTTTTTAAATAAGTTTTATTCAAAATTTAACCCTAAAACAAAGAAAAACTAAAAACAACATCAATCATCAGAAACATCGGACCTGCTGGGTCAGACCCCACATTTTTTTCCATTTATGATAACTTAAAAACAGATTTAAATCTATACAAAGTCCCATTTCTCTAGCCAATAATAAAAAGAGTCCCAAGTTTGATAGAAATCAATATCTTCTTTCTCTTTCAGTGACAAAGTCAATCTATCCGTTTCTGCACCGTCCAAGAACTTTTTTAGGATCAGTTCGTCGGTGGGAGGTTTTTCACTTTTTCAGTATTGAGCAAATGCAATCCTTACCACAGTAATTACATGTAAAATCAAATAAATTTCTTGTTTACTAATATCAACAGGTATAGTGCCTAACAAGAAGACTTCAGGTTTAAAAACTAAGGATTCTTGTAACATTTCTTCAAGCCCTTTATGTATTTTAATCCAATACTTTTTCGCATTATCGCAAGTCCACCACATATGATAGAAAATACCCGATTAATGTTTATATTTCCAACATCCATTTGACATATTTAGAAACATATTTGGTGACAGATACCAACTATAAAATATTTTATACAGGTTTTCTTTATACAAAGTTGCTAATGTTACCAATTCTCCATCATTGTGGATTGATTGGCATAAGTTTTAAATCAGTCTTGTGGATTGATTGGCAGTCTCTGACTGCAGGTACATAATGCTTTTGGTTGACTGAAAGGGTTTGTATATGTGGACTGGAGCATCTTATTTCTTATTCCTCACCTCTTCCTCCAGGTGGATTGACTTGCTATGCATTACAAGCACTTTTGAAGTTCTCCAGGGTTTGTGGGGAGACTTGGTGGGCAGCATGTGGAGATTTTGGAGAGCACCACTTGTGCAACTGCTTCTCCTGCATCATTACATTTGGAAAACTTGATAAGTGACTTGCTTGGTTCTCCTTGGATTCCAAATACATGAGTTGAAAGGAAAGAGGCACAGTGTGGTTCCTGTGCTTGCTTTAGGCCTGTCACCAATACTTTTGTTCCAGTCCTAGAATGGAAACATAGCCTTGTGTTAAGGGCTGTTATTTGCTACATGGTCTTGATTCACCTGCAAGTTGCTTCTCTGTTTAAAAAGATACTTCCAATCTTCAAGGCCAGGTTCAAAATAATAATAAACCTACGTACAATATTATTTCTTTCAGTGACCTGTGGAAGAGATCTTTTTACTCTTCATAGCTCCTTTTCTGCTCTGCCTGAGCATTCTATGACTGTTGTTTTGTCCGCTTTTACTACAGCCTTTTACAGCTTTGGGTCAGAATAGCTGACCTCTGGGGTGGCACTGTTTTAATCAAACTCTTGCTTTCTCTGTGAATGGTTCTGTAGATAATGGAATTTTGATCCTTAGTGTGGTGTGGGTTTGTAGTATGTGTAGTGTCATACTTCAGTGCAATGTTTGTTTGCATCAAACATGTAAACTAGGAAGGATAAGAACAGCCTTCATGAGATGTGGTTCTTGAGTGCCTGTTTAGGAATAGGTATCATTTTATGGCAGTATGGCAGTAAAACTCCCATATCCACTGTTTCAGTTGACTGTGGTCTGAAAAGTTAGAATTATTTGGAGTTTTGCAGCCTACTGCTCCACGGACAGCCATGTGGGGAATGCCCCTTTTCCCAGTTGCTGCCATGACAGGCAATGGTGGGGTAGGTGCTGGACTTGGGAGCAGTCATGTGGCGGTGCATGAGGCTCACAACACAATGCAGGACAAGCTTTCCTGGAGTGGACTGCATCTGGCATGTTGGGTCTTGTTTTAAGCTAAAGGTTATTCAAGTTGCAAATGAGGTAATTGTAATGCAGCTACTAGTACTTGTATGGTCAACAGTATAAAAGAATTAAGGGGTGGGGGTGGGGGTAGAGATAGTCACAGTTTTTCCACTTTCATGGGGCTCCTGGACCCCTAACCCCCACAAATGTGGAGGGCTAACTGTACAGTGTTGGCCACTACCCACAGCTTAAATCATCTGCTGGGGGTGGGGGCGCTTGGAACCTTTCCTCCATAGATATGGGGGTCCTACTGTACTTATGAACAGTAATATGATTGTTTGACCTCTGCACTTTGGAACTGCTTGTAAACCCAACAGAGAGACAGACAGTGCCTTCGTGTACTTTAATCTTACTCAGGAAAGCTGCCTTAGCATCTATAATCTGTGGAACTTAAGTAGTTTTAGTGTATCTATTAGAAATTTCTTTAAGAAGCATTTTAAAGCTATATATTTTTCAGCACAATGCACACAAGTTAGAATTATTATACAGTACAATAGAGTGCTGTAGTATGGAGGTGTGAACAGTCTAATTATAATGGTGCTCTGTGTGTTTAACAAGTATTACAGATGTTCAGATTAACAACTTGATTAAAGAAGCATGTACCAAAAAATTGGACATTAATTTGTGTTTCATAAAAAGTAAAGTATTTCTATGTTGGTGTCTACAGTTGACTAACATTGTTATAAAGTGCCATTTCTTTCCATAAATAGTTCAAAGGGGTACTTAAATAGGCAATTGAAGCTGCTTTTCAGTTCAATGTAATGCAAAATTTTGTAGTGAAAACAGCA